CGATAAGTACGATATTACCTACATTTTGCATTGTTTCGAGTTGGTTGGAATTTAAAATTGGAAGAAAATAGTCATAGGTACTTGATTAGAGTTTTTGGCCACACCGTAACAATTCCAACAAGTTTTTAATTGAATTATATTAAATAGGTAGGTATATAAATTATACCTTCTCTGTATTTTAATTTTTAGTTCACTGTGGTTTACCAGCAGGATTACAGTACCTACCAGTGTTGTCGAAGCTACCGAAATTTCGGTATTTCTACCGAAATGGCAACGGACCTACCGAAATACCGAATACTGATGAATTTTTACCGATTTTCGACAATAATTACGATTCTACCGATTTTTTTACCGTTTTTCGCCAAAATTTAGCAAGGATGGTATCAGTCAAGGATAATACACATTACTAAGGAATCTAAGGATTGCTTATCGGCCTCATTTTTGGTAATCGCCGCCATATTGGTGTGTCACCATTCCCGACGTCATTAACAAGACGTCAGCTGTTTGCACTAGAGGTGAAGAGGTCGTAATTTAGAATTTTAAATTTATGATGAATTTTATTTAATCTTAATTAACAAATAGGCAAAGAGGAAGATGAAAACGATATCTAAAAAAAAGTTGTATTAGAATGTTAATGTAGTAAAACAATCTGTGAGTAAAACCAAGTATGCATAAAGCAAAAGCCCGCGAAAACATAACTTGTGGTGCAAAGAGCCTACGTCAAGGCGAGAAAGGACATTCTGCCTCACAACTGGTGATTTGGCGTGGTGAGGGAATTCAGATTTGTTCGCCACAGGCCTTATGAGGATAGGCTATCCTGTAGTAAAAGTGTGTATTATCCTTGGGTATCAATGCATTTCTTTCGGGTAATACCTAGTGCGATGTCAATGTGAACGTGTGGGGACTGTATGAAACGGCCATTAATAGTGGCCAAATAACTCTTCATCGTGTTTTAAAACGTTTCAAAACTAGTTTGATTGCTACGTCATCATATCGGTGGTGATCGAAAATGTCCTGTTTTAACTGTCGAGGTTTGTATTTTCTTAAATAAAATATGTTTGATTTTCCGATAATGGCCGTTATAATGTAATATTTATTAAATCGTGCAAAACACGGCAACGCTGGATTTTAGTCTTTTTGTTATACCTACCGATTTTGCGCATTAATCTACCGATTTTCAACGCCAGTTTCTCCCGATTTAGTATTTTGACGTTCGACAACACTGGTACCTACCTAATATAGACAGTAACTTGTAACGGTTGATGTGTTTGCGTATTTGTCTAGGGCATTCGATCATAATCAACCCTTAATAATTTTTATTGAACTTCAAATAAATATTCTGGATTCTTGAAGATAATATATTCAGTTTGACAACGTCGCATCGCCTGTTCTGAATCATATATATTTGTTTTCAGATCATGGTGCTAGGTGGCGTGGATGTCGGTATATCTGAAGTAATTGCGATAAAAATAAAACCCTTATAAAATACTATTGTTATATAGCCTTCAGAAAAATTGCTTAAATAACAATATTATTATAAAGTTTATCTGACTGTATCAGTTTTATGATACTTTTATCGTAGAATACATTTATAAGAAAATTAGAAATTGGACACCTTATTACTATTCTATGTTATGTTACGTTATTATAAGCTAAACGTTCTTAATACAGATATATGTTGCTTAACTGACACCAAATCAAGATCTTTCGAAATTAAACTGTACCTCTTTCCTGGAATTGCCACTTCTTCTTGATATTATCCAGCAAGAAATGCTTGACATATTGATAATTAGCAATAGGTTTCTATATCAATTATCACTAGAATTAAAACTAGAAATGTCAAGATTTTTCTGCAGCGTAGGTAGATAAACTAAATTTTAGGTTTTTTTTTTATAAGGTTACCCTAATAATAATTTTGTATTTTGTGAGACACTTCTGTTATTTAACCCTTTTTTAAGTGATTTATTCAAATTTGTTCCACAACAATTATAAAATAGTTTTATAAAAGTATTGAACGGAACTAAATTATTGCTAAGAGTGAACTGTTTTATAAATTATTCTCCATAAATACTATAAAATCTTATGATAAAGCCGTAATAAATCAAAATGCATACTTTTATAAGTGATATATATCTGTTTGTGAGTATTGCTATAAAGCAACTACAAAATATATCTATCTCAAACAAAAACAGTTTTATAAGTCTTGTCATATAAATATTTATGAGCAGGTTAATTACCAAACTTATAAAATTGTTATTTAAATTAATCTTAAAAATATCTATATAGCAAAATAACAAAATAAATTTGTTTTCATGATACATTTGTATTTATTGAGACCACCCTGTATAATTACAAAAGTCCTATTTCAATAGATTTTATTAAGACCTTCAACTTTTATACAGGAAGTTTTTTTATATTGTGCACCAGTTTCGAAATAATTGACTGTTCCGGGACTTTTTACACACTGTGTATAAAAAAAACATCCTGTACAAATAAGTGGATTATTGCGGAATTTATGGGTGACCCTCTGCGGGACGAGCGCAGCGAGTTCCGCAGCCATCTACTCATCAATATACTGTTGAATTGTTAAAAAAAAAACACTCACATGAAACTGAGTTTTTGAACTAAGGAGTAAAATTCATAACTAAGTGAATCAGGTTAGTATTGTACGTACTTGAACAACATATTGGTGAATAGATGGCTGGCTCCACCCATATGTTCCGCAACAATCCACTCGTTTGTACTTGAATAACTTGTCACATTATATTACTAGTTTGGTAAAGTAACATTACTAATTCCTTTTTAAAGGTGAATTGACAAAAAGTGAATAATCATAATCTTACAAATTCTTACTTTATATAATAAGTGATTGTTCAAGTACAAATAAGTGGATTATTGCGGAACTTATGGGTGGACCTCTGCGGGACGAGCGCAGCGAGTTCCGCAGCCATCTACTTACCAATATACTAGGCCTATTCGGGTTTGGAAAAAGTACGGTTCTAGAACGGTCCAGAAGAATCGCCCAGTTTATTATTGAAATTTGTGATAGTCGAGTCGTTGTTATTTTGTTGATCAATAAACTGGACGATTGTTTTGAACCGTTCTAGAATCGTCCTTTTTCCAAACCCGAATAGGCCTACTGTTGAACTATTCAAGTAAGACATTCACCTGAAACATGTAATTTTAAAACTTATGAGAATAACTCACATTTGAGTGAGTCATCGGGTTAGTATCGTAATTAAACAACATATTGATGAATAGATGGCTGCGGAACTCGCTGCGCTCGTCCCGCAGAGGTCTACCCATAAGTTCCGCAACAAATCACTCATTTGTACCTATTTAAATAACTTGTTGATGATAACGGCTTTTATCCATAGAATTCACATTGACATCAGTATATCAGTAGACCAGTGGCCAAATCAGTAGATCTACTGATAAATCAGTAGACCTGGCAACACTGGCTGCTATTTTAGTGAAAATTGCGTTTTCCATCAAAATAGCCAAGGACTTGGTTAGTTTGTAAACTATTCAGTTAGTTTACAAACTAGTTAAGTTTGCATATTAACCGTAACATATACAATACAATCCCAATGAACCATTGAGACACAAAATCTCAACAAAACAAACTTTGAAATTTCATCGTTTTGGTACTGAGGTATAGATTTTGGTAAACGCTTTTCCTATTAAAGATAGAATGCTGAAATTTTCAGCGATTCTTATCCCAGTAGAGGAATACAATCCCTGAAAATTTCAGCTCATTTAACCTTATAATTCCAGAAATCAAATTGTGTTAAGCAATTTGGGGTGATTTATCAATTTTTTTGGACTTATAGTTCCTGAGATAAAATCGTGTTAAGCAATTTGGGGTGTTTTATCAATTTTTCAATTTTTCTGAGTGCCTTTTTCCATAGAATCCAGCTATAAACTTCAGAATAATTTAGTTTGAGGAATAACAATAAATCAAAATTTTTGGAAATTATCAGGGTAAGATGCAAGATGCATTACTAGCTGGGAAGCAAACTATTGAAGAAGTTACAGGAAAGAAAATTTAGACAATCAAGTCTCGAATCAAATACGTATAAAAAAGATATAGGTACCTACTTTTACCAACCTAACCAGAATTTTCATGCATACATTTGTGAGTTATAGTGAAAAAACATTGGGACAAGAATTGGTGAAGTGAATATTCTACTAAATTGAAAAAGTAATCCATCATATCTCAAAGTGGAGTTAAAAGTTAATTCCAAAGAAAAACTCAAAGTCTTCTTCTACAAATACTTTAATCGTTTTACACGGCCCTACATGTTTCGAGATTAGTAAATCTCATCATCAGGCAGGGGCAAAAAATGAGTTCATATATAAACAGGGATGGATATCATAGGCTGCCAGATCATGAATTTTTTTAGAGGAAAAAAAGGTCAAAAATAAATTAAAAATTATTTAGTGCCATATTATTTAATAAAAAATGGTAAAAATAGATTTGAGTTCAATGTAAAAGACTTTGAGTTTTTCTTTTGAATTATATTTTACTAAGTTGCTTTGCTATTCAATATACCTTAGAATTTTGACAAAATATCATCTAAATAGCAATTAAATGACTCTATTATTACTTTTGTCAAGCACTTTTTGTTTTTGCATCAGTACGTTACGTTGCTGCTTATCTCTACTGCAATGGGGTTGCGCTAATAATAATACCACTTTATGAAATTCCACATTAATCCCTATCTCTCCTCTGTTATATCGTTTCCTTACAATCATTATGGCCAATTGATTTTTTTTTTTTGTAATTGGTGTTTTCATTTCTTATTTTTAGACTTCTTGTGAGTAAATTTTTTTTTGATTATACCTTATACCTTCTTTCCTAAACATGCTACATGAATCTTTAACTCATTTGAAGTGAAATTAATTTTATAATAAAACACTAATAAGTAATTAAGCCTATAAACAAATTACCTATAGCTTCAAATCAATAATTACTAATCATTTTTTTTTTTTTTTAGCTGCCGTCTACTAAGTCCGAAAGGGTGAAAAGGCGATGATCTAAATAAATAACAAAAACAAAAATAATAAATGATCGTCACTCAGAAACATCTAGTTAAATTTTCAAACCAACTGACTGAACTGAAAACGTGCTTTTGACCAATCACTGGTTCGCATTTTTGAATCAACGTTTCAACAACATCAAGTGTTCATTATTTCTTAAATCAAAAAAAAAAAAAGTTCTTTACATAAATATCTAATAAGTGCCTTATATTTATTATATGTACCTATACACGTTTTTTTTTTTTTTTTTGTTATCGTCCTTTTAAATTAGTATATTACAAATCGTGTCTCTTCATTCCATCAAATAATATTAATTTTAAAGGACAACTTTATAATTTTAATTGAAATATTGTTATATTAAACTATTATTGTCATATTCTTCTAAAACGGGCATAAAATTTAATTAAACACAACTAATTAAAAGACTTTTATTTCTCACCTATTTGACAAACTTTACCTCACCAACCAACCCAAATAAATGTGGCGTGCCTTTACAAACTTCCCATGTTTCCGGTTTGGGATTCGCATAATAGCATAACCTATATTATTTACTGATAAAATGGGCAAAATCAGCGTGAAACTTTGTGGGCGGAACCAGATTTACGCTCAATTGCTTTCGAAAAGCACCCTACCGTTTAGAATTTAGGACCCAGTTTGGACAATTATCAGTTTAGGTCAGAAGAACAAGAAATCCTAGAAGAATTATTATGTATTATCAAGAGAATATTGATTAAAATAAATAGTTTTTACATTTTGTGTATCATTTTCCTAAAAGTTATGAACCATCCGCTTTATATTGCACCCTAAAAGACCTGTGAAAATTCATTTAATGCAGGACAAACGTTAATGAAAATCCTGCTTAGAACAATTTGTTTTCATTAACTTGCCGCCAAAGTATCCATTTGGATAATCACGAGTCGTAAATTTTTCTTCTAAATGAAGGCTCTAAAGTTCCAATAAAGATACCAAATGAGCTCGCAGAATTGGAACTGAAATGTTTTGTTCAATTTTTAAGAAATGTTATAGACAATATCCTATATAGTCTATCTATACCTTTATTATGATTATCTTTATCTTAAAAAAAATATCGTAGGATGAAACATCAAAAAAGGCTCTATTCTAATCATCGCAGCTCTATCGCTAACATTTTACAACTCAATATTCTTGTAGGTGTAACCCAAAAGGGGGGAAACTTCCGGTCGACGTAACCATAGAAACTGTTTCGTTATTGGCTAAACGCCGGAAGGAAGGAACGACTTCATCCCCCCTGATTGGGGAGATTATATGTACGCTGGGGGGATCGTTTTAGCTAACAAGCTTTATAGGTAGCTTTAGGTGAGCTTTTATGAGGTCATTTACAAGCAAATGAGGCGTGTAATGAATGGAAAAATGTTTTAAAAAAGCTTTTAGAAAATAATGATAATGGTGTCAAGAGAATGATTATTATAAATTGTTGAAGAAATATATTTTCTATTTTTCCCTTGCAACAAGCTACAAGAAATAACCCAAAGAATGACAAAAGACTACCGTGTGTTTACACGTGTCTCAAACCCCCAGGTGGCTAAATATTTAATTTGACCCGAAACCATTCTCACCTTAACATTGGACAATCTTTGGAGATCAATAAAATATAGAAACCCGTGTTATTTCTAGGCGGAGCATGAAATCGTTCGGATCGGTAAATATGCTTGGATCCTTTCAAATGTCTTGTATGCGATTCTTCTGCTACATGAAAAAAGTATTCAATCTTTGGTTTCTAAATGGGCTTTCGGACGGAAGTTACATGTGTCCAAGATCTTTTAGTTCCCCTTTGAAAGTCGTTAACTTTTGGGTTTTTTTTTTTGCGGATGTATGGTCGATTTTAGTGTACCTATGGGCTGTGCATTTTGATTAATCGACTACCTATATTTTTAATATTTGAATAATATTTTATCAGTGATTTGATGACACCAGTTCAATTCTGCAATTTTTTGCTTTTGAAATTGGGACTGCAAAGAAAATTACGAGTAATAGATAAAGCTTGGAAAATTCACCCCACAAGATACAACATTACGTACTAAACAAAAACCTTATATTAATATGACACATATTATAGCATTGGGCCAAATAATGAACCTTTTGCGTCCCTGTCCTGTTCCTGCATTTAATTAAGTCGTCAGAGCGTAGGGTCGGCGCGGCGTAGCGATCTTGAAGGGTTGATCCCCGTCGAAAGACGTATATTCGCGTTGCTTTATTAAACTTCGGTTTGCAGCCATCAGATTTCGGGGTTGGTTTTAAGTGATTGAACGGGGGCTTTATTAGTTTTGAGGCTTATCAAGATAATGCCCATGGAGTTAATATTTGCCGCCAAAGCGTTAAATGTCTCCGACAAGATCAATTAGGTTATCATGTGTATGATCACGATTATATTCAGGTCTGGTTTCTGATGTCTGTCATATATGGTCTTCTTGACTCCAGAATTCGTTCAAATTGTTCTATAAAAGAGCCAATAAGAAGCTGCAGAAGAAGAAAATTTGATTATTATCAACTCAAGAGCTGCTAATGAGTAATCAAACATTTGATTATTATCGGCTGCCCTAGGGAATCCAGAGTTGATAAAAGTTACAATTTTGACTACCCGGCTCTCGATTGGCTCTAGGAAAGTTTTCGAGAGAATCAAGAACCGGTAATAATTCAAATGTTGATTATCTGTGGCTTTTGATCCATTGAATAATTTTTCTATAGCCAATTAGAAATTGCGGAAGAAGAAGTTTTGATTGATATCAACTTAAAAGCTGCTAATGATCATTCGAAATTTTAATTATCATCGGCTCTTGAGCTTTGAATGCCCTAAGAAAAATTCTCTTGCGAATCCAGAATTGATAAAAATTCAAATTTTGACTATAACCGGCTCTTGATTGGTTCTAGAAAGGTTTTCCAAAGAATCAAGAGGCGATAATAGCTCAAATTTTGATTATCTGTGGCTCTTGATCCATTGGATAATTTTTCTAAAGCCAATTAGAAGCTGCAAAAGAAGAAATTTTGATTATAATCAACTTGACATCCATACTAATGATTATTCAAAATTTTGATTATTATATCGGCACTTGAAATTTGAATGCTCTTAAAAAAATTCTCTTGCGAATCCAGAATTGATAAAAGTTTAAATTTTGACTATAACCGGCTCTTGGTTGGCTCTAAAGAAGGTTTTCCAGTTTTCCATAGAATCAAGAGCCGGTATTAGTTCAAATTTTGATTAGGTATCTGTGGCTCTTGATCCCACGTTGGTACATTTGGCGTTTTCAACTTTGAAAATATATAGCTATATATGCACAGCAGCATATATAGCTTTTTAACCTACCTAAATGTTATTTCCACGTGATAGAGTATAGAGTATATCAAGGGTATTTTCAGTGTTGCCACTGTTGGCCAGGAATTATCAACTTTCATGCGCCAGTTTTAACATTAAAATGCGCCACCAAAGCGCCACAAGAGTAAAAAGTAAGGATCTATTATGCAAAGGCAAAACAGATATATTTAACCTTGGAAATTAATAAAGCACAACTACTAACTACAGTGACTCAATAACCCGTTTCTAACGATAGTGGTGACAAGGCCGAGGGCCGAATTTAAAGTCGCTTGAGGTTTTCTCAGACCTTAAGGAAGACTTGAACGTTCAGAATTGACATGACTAACTTGTCAAATAGTAGAAAGTGTCTATTCTAAACTCAATACCTCCAAGGAAGACTCAAGGAATGACTATAAATTTGGCCCTAAAGCCTAAAGGTCCCGCCGCAATATTCTTGCTATAATTTTAAATAGGAATCTAGAAGTAAGCCACGCTTCCATCGCCATGTTCTTGCTTATTCTCAAAATGAATATATGGGATTTCAAAAAACAAATCAAAAATAGGACAGGAATTGTCGCCATTGTGGTTTATTGAGTCACTGTAAGGCCACGATTTCAAAGCGTCACTTGTTGGCGCCCGGCGCATTTACTAAAATTTTAGGCGCCATTTCAATTTTGAAAACGCCGCTTTGGCGCAAATGCGCCACACCTGGCAACACTGGGTATTTTGCTTAACACCACAAAAATCAGTGGCGCAGCCAGGGGGGGGCCAGGGAGCGGGCCTCCCCCAAGGCTTCAGAGAAAAATAGAAAAATAATGCAGATGAAGTAGACAAAAGCTGTAAATACTGCTCATATCATAAAAAGCTTATGGGGTGTAAAACTAAAAATATGTATCTGGTTTATAATATGTAGAAAAACTCCAAGAACAACATCGAAAACTTCGCCTTTCTGCCAAATTTTTATCAATATCAATCTTTAGTGTTTGCAACAAAACGTAGACGTGACGTCACATTCGCGTGTGGCGCACAACAAATTCTGCTTTTGTGTATGTAACGTTGCGATAAAAAAAAAAGTAGTAGAACAAAAATCTTCAAAATATCCTGGTCTATCATACAATATTTTAATTTATAATTAAAAATTACATTACTTTAGTTTTTTTCACGTGGCTCCGGTTTAACTAACCGGGTTACAAAACGGTTAGAGAAATGACATATCGTTCTCTAACCCGGTTACAAAGTGACGTGATGGATACCTACCACTCGAATTTGAGCGGTATGTTGCGGTTTGTTAAACCGGAGCCACGTGAAAAGGGTTTTTGAATTTTTTTCGACAAGTTTTCAACCTAGGAAGTTTCGGATGGCATTAATTTGGCATTTTTCTACCCGTTTTTAACCTAGAATATGTCATTTGCTGAGCACAACAAATGTTTATTTACTGTTAAAATTTTGTATGTACACCAGGAGCTCAAATTGTGGTTAATAATTTTTGTACTACTTTTTTTTATCGCAACTGTACATACTTTGGTTCAATACCAAAGCCATGTTTCGTTTCAGTTATTCGAGTCAACCTGTATTTAAGTGAGAATCGTAGGATTTTTTTACTCTGAGTCTAGAGTATCCGAGTGGTTGTGACGTCACGCTTCCACGGTTATTTTGCAAATATCTCAAAAACCATCAGGCAAAAAATGGTGCGGCTTGAAATATTATTCTTAGAATTTGTTATACAGAAATTTTGATTTTTGGTTTACATATTACATCCCCTCTAAAGGATGGTCTGTGTAAACTCCTATAATTTTTTTTGCATGGACCCATCCAGACAAAATTTCTGGCTGGGCCACTGACAAGAATAGACATTTTTATTTCAAGTTTGCATTACTTTACTTTACTCTAAAATAAATGTTATGTTTAATTGATATAATTTTGTCAAATCTTCATGTTATCCTAATTTCACGTATTAGGTTTGTTTCTGCAAAAATTCAGTAAAAGGCGTAAAAGCTTTATCTTCCATTTCCTAAGCAAATACTTATTTTGCAGTAAATAAAAATGAGTAGGTATTAGCTTTAACTAAAAATTCAATTAGTAAAGGCT